TAAAGATCTGAGTAGATTAATCAAGTCACTGTTAGCTATCTAAGCATGCGCTAGTGTTTATAGTCATTTTATAACAATTAATGTTAGTGTAAAGAAGTAAATTATTAAATGTTATAATAGGAATAATAATGGGCACGGAATCATATTTTAAATTGCAGATATGATTTGAAAACAATTGAAAAATATAATTAAAAAGATTTCTGTTAACAATCCAATTTCATAAATCTGAAAATACACATACTAAATATCAATGTTTTTATTTTGTTATTTATTGTGTTTTATTGTGCAACGTTGCAATTATACAAAAGTATTGAAAATTTACATAAAAGAACAATTTAATAAAGTAGAAACCCTTTCACACACAAATGTTCTACAGTGAAACGTCGTATCATAAAGTTAACAATAATTGTTAACTCTATTTAATTTTGCAGAGCTCGAAGCGCGACCATATTTCAACAAACTTTTGCGGAACAATTAGAAAATATTCGCTAAACAGTTCGTAGCTGCAAGAGAAGTTTCATAAATAGTCGAGTAATTTCGTGTTTGAATTCATTACATTTTTGATGAGTCCCCCGTCCTGGGACCTCCATTCTTATTTGTACTTCTGACTTCGTTATAAAGATCCATTGTGCTTCAATGCGCACCTAGATTTCGTATATCGATCTTATACGGGAGGGAATCTCCGAGCCATAACGAACGATTCGTATATCCATTCATTTATCTACCCATATAGCTAACGTCCCGGTCCATGTATACCTATCTACCTGTTTACCCATCTACCTAATGTACTACTTGCGCGTCTCGAAGTTAGTAGACTTTCCGTCTTCCATCGGGCATATACGCCGCACACCCGGGACTCTCTCGATAGGGAGAAGATGGGGCGTAAGTAAGTAACTATCGCGAAAACTTTTCATGCTGCTTTTACTCCCGGCTACAATATGCTTCGCAAAATGGAAATAGCGTTCGGCACGGCTATCCTATATATGTGACCTCGCGCGAAGCTCTCTGCCATCCGGCGGCTGTCAGTGTCGCTAATTTCCGATCAGTCATACGAAAACAGGCGAGGAAGCTCTTAATTCTTCCATTAATCTCCCGTCGCGCTATTATTTACCTTGCAAATAACTAACGCGAATAAGCGATGTCACACGTCGTTCCTATTTTTGTCGAACGTACTTGCTCTCCTCGATCGTTGACGAATCTCGCTGCCAATATCGTCTCGTTAGTATCGCCGCTAATGAAGAGACATATCGGCGGATGTAGGATAAACGCATAATTCCTCGACTCCATAAAAGTCTGCTGTAAATTGCGCAAGGTTGGTGAATTGCGTAAAGACATACGTTGACACGTATAGCGTCGTCTTCTCGCGGATGGTGAAGCGAAGATCAACACATGTCGACACATATCTACGAGTCTCGACTTTGCCGTTGCGATAATCCGCGACGTCCCGGTAGCACGGCTCGTTAAATTTTAACACAGTCGATACGTCTGCGTCGCATAATTCTCTGTCCCTGATAGTGTTAATAATGACACGTCGCGCGACGGTGCGAATCATGACGGGCCGAGAGCGCTGCGAGAGGCTGTTAATGAGTCGTTAGATAATAAACGTCTGAGGTGTGATGAACGGCGGACGCGTGGTTACGACTTTCTCGCGACGACAGGAATCGTCGGAGCGGCGAATCAATTATAACACAAATATAAACGCAATCATTTATTTTTGATTAGTCGCGCGCACGTTATATATATATGTATGATGTGGTGAACGAATGTAATTGGAAAAGAATTATTCAATTAATTTACGTTACTCGCGAGTTGTTAATGCGTCATCGCAATCGAGATATTTTGGTCTCTGTCATTATTTTTTTTCGGTAAAATTAGAAGCGCATGTTTCTCGTAAAAATATCGTATATTTTTTAGCGTGATAATATATATTATATACCGTGTTACATTCCAACGTGGTTGAATAAAAGTTACGTCTTTCGCGGCCGATGCGCGACAGTAATTAACTGAAATTTGAATTTTAACGACGAACTACGATGCATGGTTTATCGCCGTCGTTGTTTTTAATTATGCCGTTACGTGTGAAAACGAACGAGTGAACGGGTGCACGGCCGAGGATGAAAAAAAATGACATTGCTTCGCGATGCGCGAAGTATATGGAATGCGATGGCATTAAACACAGTTATACCCTCCCGTCTCTTTCTTCTCTTCTCCGGACGCTTTAGTCGAGCTGTGTAACAGAGTTGTCGTGACACATTTCATATTCGGCGAAACGCATACACGCCCGCGACACGTGGGAAAATCGCGCGAGAGTTTTCGCAGCGACGTTGATTTTATCGAAGAAACTTCCAGAGCGAATTCTGCGACGCGCGCGGATAAAGACGAAAATTACTACCTACGCTAATCCGCGTGTAATTCCGTCTTCCCGAAACTTTACCGACGATCCTTATGCAATCCGATAAGTCGCACTCAACGCACCTTTACTCTGATGATACTTTCCTTTGAAATTAATTCGTAATCGTCCTTACGTTTATACATTTTTTATCTTTAACAGCGTTGATGCAAAGCGTTAAAACGTTAGACAGAACGTTGCAGCAATAATTTAAGTTTAATCAAAGTATCATCTTACTTCAACTATTATTTAAGTGTTGGCAAGAGTAACTTATCGCATACGTATATACATGTATACACGTACGGCCGCGAAGCGCCATACACTATAATTGAAGCTACATGCTACATGTAGGTCGGTTAAAATATGCACGCGCTGTCATTGCAGAGTCGATGCTCCTTTTTTTTCGTTTCGACGCACAACCCCCGCGAAATGCTATTTTATACGCGCAAAACGAGTAAAATGGGAAATTTCACTAGATGAAATTTCAACGAAGAGCGCGAATTTCATAAAATCGAAAACTGCAGTTTAACTGCTCAAAGCGATTGTACGTCGTGCCGGTGATTAATATACATTTTATTGAAACTTTTATTTGCAGCTGTTCATTCAGCTATTTTAGCTGGGAATTAATACAAACGCGAATCCTGATCGAACGTGCCTATCCGAACGTTTTTGTTCGCTCATCTCGACGATATTTGATTTAAAGTTCACGAATGAATAGCGCCTAGTTCGCAGACTCCGCTTTTTAAACTACTTTTTTATAGGCGGTATACTGATCAGCGAACTTTTTGAAGCCATGCCTTGTACATTTTCACGAGAAAGTTCGAGAAATTTGTCGTTTGCGCCGAGTGTCAAATATTGGCGTATTTCCGAGAAAATTCTCGACCTTTTTATCTGTCTGTTTCTCGTAGGGACACATGTGCTCATAAAATGCGTTAATAAATACATACTATACAAATTTTCTAAGACAAGAAATATTTGATTAATACACTGAGAGAAATAATTATTTTTTTCAAAAAAAATTTTGTTGATTTAATAAAACCGGAAGATTGTATGTTGCCAAGCAGATAATTTGATTGGCTTAACAAAATATTTGTACAAAATATTTTCTTCTTTTGTTCTTTTTGACTATTTTGTTTGTTGACTATATTGATTTGTTCTTTTTAACTAAATATTTTATACTATCAATTATACATAATATGACATTAACTAAATATTTCTTTGAATAAATTTATTATTTTTAAAAACGTTAATGTTCTTGGTTCAACAAAATTATTTTATTGAGTTAACAAAATTGATCATCAACTTGAAAAAAATGATTTTGCATGATACCATTTTCAGAATTCAATTATTTCATTTTGTTCAAATAATAGACGTGTACTTAATTCAATAAAATAAATAATTGGATTAATAAATTAAAAAATCAACAAAACTGTTTTGTTGATTTAATAAAACCGGAAGATTGTATGTTGCCAAGCAAAATTGTTTTGTTGATTCAACAAAATTTTTTCCTCAGTGTATCATTAAAAACTCATTAAACATTTGAGGAGATAGTAAAAATAAAAAACGCGGTATAAAAAATAAAAATATATATAAAATACTAAATAGTGAAGACGCTTATGACTCACAGCAATTAATAAATGGGTTTGCAATTCATTAAAATATCAATACAATCCTCATGTTCAAAAAAGTAGACGGAATAATGTCGGTTTCGATAATTTTATGGTATACGCAATTATGCAAATTGATTCGGCTTTTGCCCTTTATCCTAAGTACAAAATCTGTTATAATTTCTACATAAAGCACTAGGCTGCTGAAACCGACTACAATACATAAAACTCATTAGAATGTTGCATATTGCATGACGGTTTTATATGTTGTCCTATTCTCTAATTTTGTAAATATTCAGCGAGGTTCGTTACGTGTGGCAGTGCAAAATATATTTTTAAAAAGGTGCAAAATATATTTTGATAACGTGTATGTTATATATTCTTCCGACATAATTTTCCATAAAAATTCTCGTCGGCGCGGCGGCAGCTTCTACGATCATCGCGCACATATACGCAGATTGTTGTACGTAGACACGTCGACGAGCTCTTATTTTTGCGCAGGTGACTTGACTGCTTCGAGTCACGAAATATTAATCGGGGGGACGTACGTGCTTGGGACTTGAACGTAACGTAACAGCATATATACGGTAGTTAAAGCCACGTAATATACCGCCGTTATTAGGCTCCTCAATAATTGCGCGTGCAATTAACGTGAATACGTCGAGTATTAACGCATCGATAGCTCGAGAATCGTGATCTGTTTGATTTACCGGCCGTTACGAACTTGGATTTTCCCAATATTTGAAACATTAAGCTATTAGATTAGCATAATCGCAATATACGTATGTACATATTATAATGGGAACGTTATGCTAATATTTAGAGTACGCGAACAAGGACCCTAAGATAAATCACGTCCAAATCGAAGCATTTGCCTAATATAATTATATTATTAAAACGCGTGTTTCCGTAGCGTAATTATGTAAGATCTTTTTCGCGATGCAGAAAAATACTTCGATATATGCGTCTATCGTAGTCGATATAGATATGCACAAGGTACTCACCAAAACAAATTATAAAACAGACAAGTGTGGGAAGAGAAGTAGACATCGCTTTTCCCCGGCGTGGCTCATTCACATATTGATATACTATCTCAGACGCATCGCAGTCGTTTTCAGGAGGCGCTAAATGGCGACGGGAGTGGATGCACTAACACACACCGCGCATCGACGATCGCGACATTCCACGTACTCTCGTTTCGGAAACAGAATCACTTTCGTACCACCGTACATCCATGCACAACCACTCACCCGCGAAATGGGGATGTCGTAATTTCTCGCTTTAACGTCGCACAAATTAGAGAACGCGGGGGGGCGTCTCAATTAGTTTTCCCTCGTCGATAAAATCGCGCTAAACGAAACGACGGAGCCCACCGCTTGATAATTCCCTCACTATCACAAAACAATTCTACGACGATACCACATTCTCCCAATTACGGAGCGACGTCGTTAATTGCGTAGCGCGGAAACCGTATCGTGGTTTCGCGAGTCGCGTATCTCGTGCGAACCGCCGCATCTGCTACGCCGAAAAACCGATGCTTCAATAATAAATTAATCCGATATCTGTAATTTATTATTCACGTCCACACCGATCGAGAAATGTTGTCGAATCACTGGCGATCTGCGAACAACAAACTTGTTTTTTTTTTTTTTACATTGTGCGAACAACAAACTTGTTTCTTTACATTGCGGCGCGTCGACGTCAGTCGCGATAGCGATAAACTTCGACCTGGTTATATTGGCCGCGCGTTGTCGGCCCCTCTACTTAGGCCGATCTCCGCATCGCCGTTATCACTCGGCTCTTCCGACGGCGATTATTCCCCTGCGATCCATATTGATCAATGCCATTTCCATCCGACACTAAGCGGCGTCTTCGTATCTCTCGTTACGTCGACGACCATAAGATCGCTGAGGATGCATTAGGCCGGTGGTCGTCGTTATTAATGCAATCCACACGATGCGCTGGACGTTCCATCGATCATATTCCACCGTGGTTATTTGCCCCGCGCGGCGCGGCTTCTCGCCGCATTTTTCCGGGCTCGCAATTTCTCTTCCTCAGGGGATCGACTTCGAACGTGCTCCGATAGCGGCGGACACAAACGAGAGAAAGGCGCTTCCTCGCTTCCTCTTCCCTTTATTCCTTTCTAGCTGTCGTTCGACGATTGGTCTATACAAATCCGCTCGCTTTCACGCTCTCTGTCCGCCGCGCAAAATGTTCCTCGTTCGATTGAGCGCGTTGGCGAGAGACAGGTTGCAGATTTTTTTTCCAACCTTCCAATTGTGTATCGATGTCGGTGTTGCGGCCTAGGTAAACAAGCCTCGCTCGAACAATGGCAGTGTTGTAGCACCCACGAGACGACGCGCTTCACGAGCAGCTTTTAACTGTAACATCTCCCCATCAGCCGTCCGATTCCCCGTAGATGTGACTTTTTTTCCACCGTGTTTTTCTCTCGCCGTCTGTTTCGACCCTTCCGTCTAACGCCACCGGCAATTAAACGCAGACCCTCGAGAGACCGTCGATGACGTCCTTCAGGGGTAACGCTTCTATCACGGAGCTGGAATCTGTTTCACGATTTCAAGATTTGTGTTCGGCAAAGCACTGCAGGACGGAATTCGCATACGTATCTGTGATCAATGATCTTCTTATTTAGATTGGCAGAGTTTCTTTCTCTCTCTTTTCAAATTTATTATAATTTTTCGAGCGGGCAGTGAAAGACTTATTGCTGAACGGGTAACTTAGCCACTCCCGCGAAACCGAAACAACGAAATATTCGCACGGTTGTCAAAATTTTTCAGAGTTCTAGAATGTCCAGCGACGCTCCGATGTACTTCTGCGTTCTCCACTTTGATTTCACAGCAATCACGATCGAATAATCGAAATCTTCCGGCACGATCATCCACTCGGCGCGGCGCCAATACTGTTTTCAGACACTGCTTCACTGTACCATCACCATCCCTTCGTCATCGTGGAATCGTGGACCGCACAAGGATTCAGGAGTATTTACGCGCCGCGTCACTGTCTCGTCGTTACGCCGTTTCGGGATGTGCACGCGAAAACGGCCGGAAAATCGTCTACGGGAGCGGACGTGGGCGAGAACCGGAGGCGAGGTGATAATGCGCACGTACGTCTCCGTCAATTCCAGAGAATCGCACGGGGACGGAGTCGGCGGGGCGGCGTTTTCATGTCATCGCTATTGGCAATTCCACGAAAGGGTCCGCGACGGAGGTCCTCGGGAGCGCGAACGGGCCCCTCTCGCGCGTACTTCGGCCCCCTAACACCACCGGGGAACGCGACGCGCGCGACGCGACGGGGAGAAGGTCGCGGCTCTTTCGAAACGGCGATGCTCCCGCGTCGACGATAGCCGAGGGACTACATTGCGCGAGCGCCACTCGGACGTCGAGCACGCAGCCGCCCCGTTCAGCCCGCGGAACTGCGCCTGTGTGCACCTGCACCCACCCGTGTGGGTGCCTGTACCTGCGTATGTGTGCCCTGCATGTGTGCGCGCGCGCGACTTCCTCCCCATAGCTCGGTTGTATATCAGACCGGTTCCCCACCCCCGCGAGCGAGCCGCCACCCTTTTACCCCCGTTGCCTATCTCGCGCGCATCCCCCCCTTTCCTCCTCTCCGCCTCCTTCTTCTTCTTCTTCTACTTCTTCTCCCTCATCTTCTTCCACTTCTTCTTGTTTGCCTTATTCTTCTTCTTGTTTCCTCCTCTCCTTGTTCCCCCGTCGACCTCTTTCCCTCATCTCCGCTCTCTTTCTTCGTTCTCCTTTTTTCCTCTTCTTCCCCGTCGGTGCCGGGGAAAATCGCGGCCCCGGTCCGATAAGGACGCGAAAAAGCGCGAATCCGGTTATAACTTATGGCCGAGATAATTAAAAGGAGTTACAGAACGATAATGGAGTGCCACCCCTGTCATCTTCTTGCGCGACCTCCGTGCACCACAGTGAGAGCTGATCGTCGTCTATCCGCGCTGACTGGCGGTCGCTGAGGATCACCCATTTCTCGGGTCAGGTCGGCAAGTCTCTCATCGCCCAACTTCCTGACTCTTCTCGCTGATGCGATCCCGAAGACATTCTGTCATCGTGAACACTTGACGAAAAAGCCGCTAACTCACGTAGATAACGGCGGATAAATGTAAAGTACTTAATTTTATACTTACATTTCGTCTCACTTTTGTTTTCATTTTCTTTTATAATTTTTCTTGGTTTCTCTGATTTTTCCTACGCATTCGCTGAACGATTTTAATTATTCTAGATAAAGAACTAAACAGTTTGTCACGTTCCTCCTCAGAATGGTGAAACACGTGCAGATGGCGGGACGAAATTATTATGTTTCAGGACTACGTGCTAAGGACTCGACAGGATCCGCTCAGTTCGGTTGTGCCGCAGTCACGTGTCACCCAACTATACCGACCACATCGGAAAGCCACCGCGGAAAGATCAATAGGCATATCCCACGAGTCTTCGGCATTCCGAGAATACGCCAAGAATTCCGAGAATATTCCCATACCGCCTGAGGAAAATTAACCGACTGACCCGTGATCTTCCCGTCTCTTTATGATATTGACTAGCGATTACCGGAAAGCGATCGGTCCTGAGGATTCCTCCGTCTCAGGATGAATTTTGCATTCCGTCAAGGGCTCTCGCCTAACAGCGCGAGAAGGCGAACACTCTCCTGTAGATTATGGATCCTCGTAAGAATCTATAAGGAATGAAACGATCTGGCGGGACGCCGTCAGGTATGGGATTTTATGAACGCGATCGCCGCAGCGATCCTTGTCGCAGAGCATCAGAAGCGCACGTATCCTCATCTTGCGCCGGGTCTTGTATCTTAATTGTTCTCCATCGGGTATCGATTACCGACGTACAACGATTCGATGCACCGCGCGTGCTAAGATTAATTGTTATATCGATCTGCCATGAATTTTAATGCGCGCGAAACTCCGCGGAGTAGTACTACTTGATTAGCATTCGCTTTGTCAGAGGTAAGAGCACATTACAGCGCTTCCCGCGACGTGTTGTGAATATTGTCGTCGACTTCAAGTGGATGTACCTTTCTACTTCAACTACTTCCTCTCGCGTCTCGCGAATAATTTCACCGCTTTGTTCCGCGTCGAGTCATTGCTTTAATTACTCTTAGATTGATCGATCAAATCATATTTCACGTCTATATTAAAGAGATAAATAAAATTAAGCGTATCAAAATCATTAATTTATGTTAAAGTTAAGCGATCTAATTTAGTTTCAGATACTTTATTTTTGCAGGTAAATAATTTAAAAAAATTGTGTTTTGAAACATTCGCTTCCTGTTATGACGTAACAATATATCACTTTATTTTCAATAGATTCTGATATTGCAAATCTGATATTAAATTGCGTATCGCAATTTAATAAATTTATGCGTTTTTAAATTGCAGCACATTTCTGTGCGCATCGTTTACAGAAAAATGCATCGTTAGTTATAAATTTTGTGATCATAGAGATGTATAGGCAACCTTAAACAAAAAAATATCGCTGATAGCTCCATGAGAGAGAGATTCTCTCGTGGATTTTGTGTACGGCTTTTACAGCTCACACGGCTCGATTGTTGTCAATGGCGAGCTTATCGTTGACAAAGGCACGACCCATACAGACAGATCGATGGTTATATTTCCACGCACGTGAATTTCGAAAACGTCCGTCACGATTTATCATCTGACACGCGGTAACCAAACCAACTCGTCCAAACCCGCGAATATTTGCGATATTTAAATCTACGGACGCATGTCATTACATCATTCATGCGCGTTATACCGTAAAAACCGATATTCCCAGCAAGAATGAACATTCGAGACCGCATCAGTGTAAATTTCAATTCGCAAACAAACCTTTGTCGGCCACCCCCCTCCCCTCCCCACGAGAAGGGGCAATGCACCGTGACTTTGAGATGCAATTTTCGCGTCCCTTGCCAAAGGACCACCGATACAGGATGCCAATCAGGTTGGAATTCACGTCGGGAGTCGTGCTATCCGTCCGGTTCAATAGGCATTTGCCTCACATTTCCGAATTCCAAGGATATAATTCCAAGAACCGGACTGTTCAGCGACGCGATGTACGAACGTCCCTTCCCTGGACTTTCATACTTCAGACTTGTGTGGTCAAGAACTTGGTGATCGGCTGGCGAGTCACGAGTCACGACGCGGCGCGGGCTATGAAGAGAGATCAATAGGCAGCGCGTCTGTACGTTCCAAATTCCACGAATGTTCCGAACAGCCTGCGCCCCTGCGCTTCCCCCCATCTCTCGATCCTTCACCTTATGGTTACAGCGCCGAGTGAAGTGGGCCCTTCTCCGTCAAGAGAACAGCGTCTGCCGGCTACGAGACGCAGGCGAAGCCTCTTGCCGCCGATTCCAAACTATTATCGTCGATTCTAATGCGACCCCTAATGCGAACTCTAATGCTTCCGCTGCCTCTTCGTTGTTGAGACTATTAGTGCGCATTGCAGGATTTCAAGATTTTCAAGTTGTTCCTCGATCGATGCGCACTTGTGATCTGGGCACAATTGGTCGGTGAAGATACATCATTACGTTTTATTGTTACTAATTATTAATTAATTCTACCATGTTACCTTAAATATTTTTTCATTTGGTTTGGCAAGGCATAAAATGCATTTATTTTATGTGGCTACATCTTTTAATAAAAATACATAGAATTCTTATTTTATAAATCGAGCCACATTAAAATTAAAATAATAATCATTTCTCCTTTCAGGTCCTTAACTGCTATGAAATACGAGAATGGATCCTGCACGAGAACGTAGTGCGAATCTCTCGCACCGTCGTGTGTCAGTTGTATTCGCAGCTATCACATCGGGCCATCTGGGACATTTAAGGATGATCTTGGTCGCTCTGGGGAATGTTAATGGAATATCTCAGAGAGATGTCTACATATCGTGCAGCGCAATGTGCCCTCGGTTAATCTTGGACAGATTTTGCGCGCTCTAGGGAGGTACGAAATGTCCCGTGTCTTTCTACCTTGAGAGACTACACTTGAGATTCTTTCTATTCTTTCCGAAATAATGCGCACAAAATGGAGCGACATGTACATTGAAGGGAGATCCGAAAATTTTTGTCTAGAACGAAATATCTCGTTGGTATGTCTCTGCACGTGCCGGTAGGTAAACCAAGACTAGATATAGAGCGTATATGAAAACCGCATGGCATACTCGACCGCAAGTTTCTCTCTCAAGGAATTTGAACGTTTATAAAATAACATTTATGTAAGTACCTAATTTATTTTACAATAAAATAATCAAGTAATGTTTCCTTTCATTCATGATTAATTTAAAATCGTTCTATACTAATTACTGATAAATATGTCTACTGCGAGACGCGATATTTCTAAAGTGTCTCAGGCATATAAAGTGATGCGCAACAAAAGTGAATTGGAGACGATTCGTCTAAAGGAAAAATGGAGTTTAAGTGAAGTAAATACACGATGGCAGTTCCAAAGGTGCTTTCGAGTTAGGCGAGAACAAGTTTTACAAGACGACATTCAGCGTTTTTGCGAAGAAAGAAAAATTACATGCAGATAGAGGTAGGAAATATGTTTCGCTGCGTATCCTTGGTATTTGGCTGTCGAGACTAGAAGTTGACTGCAAATAAAGAACGGCGAACTGAAAGAAATCGATGAAAAATATTCGTATTCTCTTTCGCGCAGTTTTTAATACGCCAGTTTTATGCTTCCCGCAATAGCATCTTTCCTCGATAATTTTTCAACGTATTTTTACGCGCGCTGTAACATCGTTACATTCCACTGTCCATCGCGTGGAAACAAAAGCTGTGCTATTTCCCTTATGTAATAGATGCATCCATCATACCGTTCGCACCATTGAGTATTATATTTACATTGCCAAAAGTTCGTAAGTGACCCGATCCGGTTCAGACCGTGAGGAGTAAAACGAAAACTCGCGCGAATCGTTTCACGAAAGTTGCGGTACATTGCCCGCGACCCCGATACTAGATCATTCATTTTTCTTATCAGCGTCGCGCACAAGCTGATACACCCGCTTTCGCCGAACGTCGCGCAAACGTAATCCGCAGTCTCCATCCATTGTGACGAGACGCGTGGACCAAAACGCCGAGGTACGGGGAAAAGCCGCGGGCGAAAGCCATCATCGATCGTGCTCTGCAACGAACGAAATGGCACAGTGAGCCACGTAAAAAAAAAAATTGAAAAAAACAAGAAAAAAGTTGGAATACGCCGGCAAACGCGGGTAGCACCCTTTGCTCCGGAGATGACGACGACGAGGACAAGGGTGCCGCATATATCGAGAGTCCGTGCACGCGATGCGGCACAGCTAGTCCACACGCGTAGATATG